TGATAGTCTTAACGATGGATGGACTATGGATAATCGACCATGCGGAGTTTCGTGGCAATATCTGCTTTTAGAAAACGTTTCAAGTTTTACAAAAATTAGAGTTTTCAGGCTGTTTTAACCTAATATTGAAAATTCACTATTCACCCAAAAGACATCAGAACAAGCTCAAAACCTCAGGATAGGATTAATGTTGAAATCGAAAAAAACGAAAAACACAGTTTTGTTAATAGGTTTTCCAGAAACCCTTTTGGAATACTTAGAGTTTTGAAGTTTTGAAAATTTTAAATTTTGGGGGTAAAAGCTAAATATTATAACGGATATGCTTAAATGAAGCCTTTTTGTCTTATAAAGTAAACAATTTTACATTTGTTGCATTGTTCAAAGATGACAAAATCGATGTAAATCGGAATCAAACAATATCTCATATTCAGAAAAATTTTAGATTCAAAGTAGTAGTCAGAGTGATATATTTTCCCGAAGTACTATTATTGTTTTCGGTGCTTCCACACAGCTGCCGCCCACTTTATACTTTTTGAAAAGTCGCCAAGAAATAACGTAGTAGGTCTTGTAGAGCTCGCCGAGTTGTGTATATCTATGATATTTGTTTTTAAAAAAGTCGTGTGGAACATGGTTTTTGGAGATCATCAAAAGTCGAAAATATGACGAATCTGCCCGAAATCCAGCTCGTATTCCGCCATTTTCTCCATCAAAATTTAATTTTCTGACAAAAGGTCATATTCGGAATCAGCATTGAAAATTGAATCGAACAATATGTATTTCGAAAATATTTTGAAGAAAAAATTGTTTTCGAAATTTCTACATGTCGGATAGCATATTACTGTATTTTAGTTCATCCGTTTTTCATCACAGAGAACGTTAGGATTATTCTTCGCAATGAGCAAGCTTTTACGTTTTTCAATGGTTAGTTTTTGTTTGGTTGAAGGAAAAAAAGGTTCCATCTCATTAAGAAAGTTTGTACTTTTCTTTTCCAATTTATTGTATCACTTAAGAAGAAATACTACTCATAAAAAAGCATTCAACTGGTCAAATCATCCTTGAAAGAAAAAGTGCGAGGAATAAATTATAAATAAAGATGAAAAGAAATATTTATTATCGACACATGAATTTTTCTTTCAAAGATGATTTGACCAGTTGAATGCTTTTTATGAATAGTATTTCTCATAGTAATACAATAAATTAGAAAAGAAAAGTGCAAACGTTCTTAAAAGAAAGAAAATAGGCCCTTTTCATATCCAACCCGCTTTTGAGCTCATCCGTACAACGACTAAGGCACTTGTACGAAATCAATTCATAGTTTATAGTACAGATACACTTATACACTAGATATAAATAGTATTAAAAGCAGTAACATATTTTTCAAGTGAAAAAAGTTATACGAAAATCTTCGCGCTAGTAGAATTTCTTCCTTGTTGTGCGCATATGTTCGCACATGTGCGACAGTTCTTTGCATATGTTCTTGGCGATAGGTAGTAGTCGACTTTGACTAGTTATGCTCCAAATGTGGTCTGTTGGTCTACTTCATAGACGAAGATATAACGAAAATAAATTTTCCTTTTATACAGTTATCGTTTCAGCCTGTTTTTCGGGCTTTTACAAAAAATTTCATATCTTTTGAATGAACGAAGTTCTGATGAAAATGTTTTGGAAATCTTCCTAAGTATGCCGCTACTGTCTACTATGCAAGTGTGAACGAAAAACTCAGACATTGATTGAGAAACTTATGCAAGAAACGGCTGTCTCTATCATGCAGTGACTTAAAAGCACTAAAATTATTTTTTATCTAGTCATTATCTTTTTTCATACGTGTTTATTTTGCAATATACCTCATCATTCATACGAAGTAGAAAACGAACAAACAGCACAACAATCATTCAAATTTTCTAATCCGTATAGATTATTCTTTTCATTTTTATTTTTTTTCAATTAACTTTTTTTCTACAAGGACAAATAGCTTTTATTGTTCTAGTTGTTCTTATTCATTTTCGCTTTTCACTTTTCACCTTTCATTATATTTCTTCCTCCCATTTGGAAAAGAAGAAATGTCTGTTGCTCTGTACTTCTTCGTTCAAATAATTGGAGTAGTAGTAGTTGTTGCTGTTGGTTCAATAGCGTCACCAACACAAACATTTTCTACCCAACTGAGTGAAATGATTTTCTATTTAACAAAACAGTCAGCCACTGATTATGAATCGTATGGATGTTGGTAAGCATATGGAAGATTTAGGCTTAGAAGACACACTTTTATAGCTTACGTTACTCACGAAGCTACCGGTAGTTTGTAACTTATCTTTGGTGAATTTCTGAAAGCATCTTTGCAGTTCAGATCGCTAGAGTTCATAGCTTAAAAAACTGAATACATTCTCAGAGTTTTAGGCTTCTATCTCGAGCTTTCATATCCGGAGAAAATCTTTGAAGCCGTTAAAAATTTGGATTAGAGTTTGATATTTTTCTGTCTTTCTTTAGGTGTAATTCATTGAACAAAGTAGGTGACAATAATGAAATTATGGATGATAGTGATCGATGTTGTCGTCTACGTTATGACTGTTATAGAGCGTCATTTTCCATTTGTGAAAGTGTTAGTGGAACTGAATATAATTCTAATGCGCGTGAAGGTACAATCACTTGTATAGATGAAGATGGTACATGCCAATATTCAATTTGTATGTGTGATAAGTTAATGGTTGAGTGTTTTAAAAAACATCAGCTGACTTTCGATGCTTCCAAATTTAATAATTTAACAACAGAACAATGCCAATGTAAGTTAGAAAAAAACGTTTTACTGCAGTGCCATTAATCAAAGGAGAGAAAGAGAGATAAAGAGTATCTAACTTCTCAAATAGAAATAAGCGATAGTGTTCACATGGTTCCGTGACTGTAAGTCTTCTGAACGGTCTTATAAGTACCACAAAACAATAAAATTAATGTAAGCCCTATAAATTTGATGTCTGTGTGTGAGTATGTCCATCACATGTACGCGCACGAACAAGGTCAGAGGCAGACACAGATATCATAACATTACACTTACAATTATGGAAATAAGTTCAGTGTTCGGCAACGTTAACATAAGCTTTTCACAACAAATATTCCTATGCATGGAGAAATAATTGAGTATCGGATGCTGCACCTTGATTTGCCCAACTCAAGGTCTGCTGCAGTTAGGTGCATAAAAAGAGGATAAAACTGAATCGAGAAACTGGCCGATGCAGCTAGATGCATCAGATCCCTCTCTATCTGCAACTAGTGACCAATTTGACATTTAAATCTGATCCGATCTATGGTCGCATCTATCAGTGTACAGGGCAATGAACAGAATAGACGATTTTTAATTAAATGCATCGACTTACTAATTGAATCCTGTCATTATTAGCAAAAAATCAATAATTAGCGATGATCGCTATGAAGATCACATTTTTCAAAGTTGAACCTAGCAGATAATACGAAATTCTTTTACTCGGGACCGGACTCTGAAAAACCGTTCCTTCAGGATGAGATGATTTTTTAAGATTATTTTCAATTTTCTTCCTAGAAGAAATTTCTTTTGAAAATTAAGTGTAGAGAATAATACGTAGAAAATTTTATTTTTCTGAAGCATATCTACTACACTCCATTTGGTATAATTCAATCCTGAAGGTGAAAAACACAAAACACCGTTTTCCATCCTGAAGATTAGTCTGTCAAAACTCAATCCCAGAAGAGATCTTTCAGGACATTAAATCTGTCACTAATGATGTTCGAAGCCGGACCCCCACAAAAATTGCCTTCATCGTAAAAAACGCTAATTACTCTTAAATAATATTTTTAATTCTTCATGTTTTAAGTTTTGTTCAATAGAAAAGAAACAGAACGAAAAATATACATATACTGCGTATACATCAGAAAATAATGATGTTCTTTTGAGAAGGACATCATAGTGGATGTATTATAAATCATAAATTCGAAGCACTTGTTCATTATCGGGACCTAGTAGGAGTGCAAGTAGTCCAGCTTCTGTAGGAGGACCGTGTTTGTATAACAAGATACGATGTTGTGTCATCCTTAATTAAAGGAGAACCATACGGAAGAATAGAACCATTGCTGCCCTATGGAGCTACGATTACTGATAAAGCTCTAGTCTCATAGACCAAAGGATCGTTAGATTTTATTAGATCTGTATTACGATATGGGATACATCTGTCTACTCTATTCTACTCGACTGTGCACTTCTAGAATCTTATGGAGTTCTACGAGTTTCAACGCTATTGAAACGAATTTTAACAATCCGTTGACCTTTATGACATGATTTTGGTGATTAATATGTTTTAATTAATTTCCAGTTGAGGGCTGCTGCGAACGACAATATTTTGTGTCCTTCGATAAATGGTTTATATTCATTACTGCTAAGGGATATCTACAAAGTACACTCGGTCGAAAGTAGGGTCAACCAAAACTGAACTAGCAATAGAGGGAAGGGTCAATCTAGATGAAACCTATCGCCATTACATCGATTCCCGACGCCAGCGCCAAAAGTTACCCCAGAGTAGAGCCCGACTAACAGCTGAATCAAATAACGAAAACTGTAGGTCTCTGAGTGATTCACACAAAAAAATGATTGGCATTTTACTTTCTAGCCAGTGAGAGAAGTTACATAGTTTCGTCACTTTTCAGCAGATTTCGCCTTACTTGCAAAAACTGTACTAACTAAAAAAACTCAAGACGAACCTTCAGTTTAGTCTTAAATGAGAGAGCACATCGGGATCTTCTGCATATTTCAATGAAAAAAATTATGATTCATGACTGGATTTTTAGGAAAAGATTTCTGAAGATATCAGTTTTCCGAAAAAGCGAACTGCTTTCAGATTTCAAAAAGTTTTTAACAGCTCCATTTTTGGGATCAATTTGTTCAATTCTCTACTAAATGAGATGCCAACCAACTTTCTACGATAAATTATTATAAAATATCACAGAAAATACGATGTTGAAAACATTTTCAGATAACATTGAGCTGTGCAAAGCCTTTTGGAATATGAGAGTCATTGGCTTTTATAGAATATCTTCAGCAATCTTTTCCTGAAAATCCAGTCATGAATCATAATTTCTCCGTTGAAATATACAGATGATCTTGATGTGCTCTTTTATTTGAAACTAAACTCGAGGTCCAGAAAGATTAGTCCAGAAAGATTCACAAAACAATATACGTCTTTCTTGTCGGTCATTGCGTCTATAGATCATCAAAAACTGAGCGTATTCTGAAAGTTTTAGAAGACTTGTGAGAATAGTCCTGGCTCAAGTTATTTTTACTAAGAGAAAATGCGTTCGAACTTAGGGAAGTCGTCAAAATTCGCATCGGTGAGTTTATTCACCGGTAATTTGATTGGAAACAAAATTGAGCACAGTATTATTCAATATGGCTGAGAAAAAGAGTATGGAACTATCGTATAACAAAATGATGATGTATGTAAAATCACTACAATTAAATTGAAACGGATCCATTTTACTAACTTTTATCTGTCAGTATCATAGATAAAAGTTAGTAAAATGAATCCGTTTCGATTTAATTGTGGTGATTTTACCGGAGAAAATAAATGTAGAACTTGAGCTTCTCTGACTATGATGTTCCGAAAAAGAGAGTTATGTTTGCCATTCCAAATTCGTGTAATTTATAAAATTAAAACGAATTCTATACATTTTACTAACTTTAGTCTGCAATATTGAGATCTCTATATGCCAAAAACTAAAAGAGAGCTTTTTCTAAAAAACTGCATAGTATAGAGTACAAGTTGTGTACTACAAATTGCCAGAAAAGCTGAGGAAGGGTACCGTCAAATTTATTCAAAACGTTTTAATCTCGGAAGTTGCTAGAATAAACACTAATTTCATAGTGAAGAGAATCTTTGTTTTGGGTAAAACGATAAAATTTGTTCTTTTCTCCATTTCTTGCTTTATACCTTTCTCTATAGTGTGCATAGAAAGAAAAAAACATTAAGTCAAGTATAGTACAGAAAAGGATATATTCATACATCGTCATTCTGTTATACGATAGTTCCACATTCTTTTTCTCAGGCATATTGAATAACCCTGTTCTCAATTTCGTTTCCAATCAAATTACTGGTGAATTTATTCACCGATGCAAATTTGGACGGCTTCCCTTATAAATGTGTACATAAATGAGTGTTTTTTTTAAAATGTGTATTATAAATGTGTGTTTTTCAATAAAGCTTATAAGAAATGTGTACAAATCAGTTTTAAATTTCGTGGTAACAATGAGGGTGTTCATCGCTGTTCTCTAAAAAGCCCAAAATTCATAAGACTGCACAACACAGTTTTTGATACACAGTGGAATTGCTAATTTGTTTCCGTCGGCATCCCAGGCCTCTTAACAAACACTGACTCTTTATCTAATTCCTCAAAAACTTTGGCAGCAGTAGCTCCATTCGGAGTCCACATTTGTAATGAGGAGCATCAATCACTTTAAGAGGGTATTTTAAGTGGAAAATGGACTTTTGAGGACTGTTTCTTCGTAAATCAATGAAGACGATGTCTGCTGTAATTTGCTGATTTCTTCGGCTCTTTTTTCAGCACACAAATGCAGTCAGGTGACAACAGCAACAACACCTACGTGTGATACTTTTACACGACCAATAGCACCACGACCATTTACATGCACAAAGCCAAGATGGAGTGAAAAGGGTATTACAGTTGCCGGAAATGGAACATCGGGATCATCTGCAATTCAGCTTAGTAATCCACAAGGAATATTCATTGATCAGCATGACAGTCTCTACGTAGCAGATTCGAATAATCATCGAATACAAAAGTTTGTACAAGGATCATCTATTTCTACAGTTACACATGGTTACGGTGGATATGGCAGTGGTTTCAATAAACTTAGAAATCCAAATGATGTCTTTGTCGATTCTATTGGTAATATATTCATTAGTGATTATGGTAATCGTCGAATTCAAAAATGGAACGTTAACAGTACAGGACAAGGAATAACTACTGTTGGTGGCGATTCTAATTTTGATCCTCAGGGGATTTTTGTTACTCAACAAGGAGACATTTATGTATCAGAATCTCATATTATTGACAGTTCAAGTAGAATTGTGAAATATTCATCGTCACTGAATTCACTAACAAAATTTGCAGCCTTCAGTACTACTGATTTAGGTATGGTGACAGGTATTGTGTTGGATCAATGTGATAATGTTTATGTAGCAGATTATAATAAGCATCAAATTCTAAAATTTAATAACAACAGTTATGTAGGATTAACAGTGGCTGGTATTACAGGTAAAATGGGTACAAATTCATCATATCATCTAAACCGTCCACAGGATGTTACACTTGATCAATATGGTAATCTATACATAGCCGATACGTCTAATCGTCGTATTCAACGTGTGATTGTACAGGACGGTAGCGGTACAACAATGATGGAAACAATAGTTGAAACAACACAATATGTTCCAAAAAGTATAGCATTTGATTCCAAATGGAATTTATATATTTCTGATTCGAACAATCATCGAATACAACGGTATGACTTCAAAGGCGGCGATCTTTATTGTTAACTTAAAACGAAAATGAGAATCTTTTGTTAACGTTTTGTTTCAACTAATCAGAAATTTTCTTTAATAATGATCTGACTGACATCAAAATAGCGACACAATAATTATTATGCTTTTGGTTATTTAGTGGTAGAAAAATAGCTCAGAAATAAAGCTGATTATTGAGCATTTGGACATTTAAAGTAAGCACTCATGTTTTTCATCTAACTATGGTGCAAAGATACTCGAATCGGATTGATTTTTTCTTTGTAAGAGCGAGTTCATTTGAGAACAAGAAATTTTTCCGCGTGAAAAAGTGAGTACTGACCCTTGATCCTTCCAAACTTATCTCCTTTTTCTTCTCTTCCAAAAACTTCTATTTTGCTTCTTGATTCATATCCATCAAATAAAATAACATGCACCCGCTACAACAAAAACAATTTCCAAACTACTGTACGTACATTTTCTACATAGCTAACATAAAGAACTCTTTATGCTCTTTCGACTTCCTTTGAAACCTTGTCCCGCAAATTTCGACTAAGCAGCATCCAGAAATTCAACACGAGTCTAAGAGTGAATTTCAGTGGGAAGTAGTGGTTGAAAGGACCTATAACCTGGTATTTCGGATCAAAACTCCCAGTTTTCACTCAATGACTCGGACTAAAAATAATACCAATCGATGAAGAGTTCAATTCTGCATGTAACACAATCGATTAGAAATTCAACACAAGTCTAAGACCAAATGACGGGAGAATATACTAGCTGAAAGGGCGTAACACCTAGTGTTTCAGCCAAAGACTCCCAGTTTCTACTCGATGACCCCCCTCGCAAATACTGCCAATCGATAGAAAATTAAATTCTGCATCTAACACAATCAATTAGAAATTCAACACAAGTCTGTGTAGCAAGCAGGATATACTGATAGAAAGAACCAAAAACCTAGTAAACAGATGGCGATGATGCATAGCTGTCGTCTTCTTCAGCCGAGAACTACCCTTGTTTAATCTCTTGCTTAAAATGAAAGTGTTCGTCGAGCCAAATCCATTCCTGTGCGTAAGATGCAAAGCCTAGTTTTGTTTTAGATAGACAAACAAAACGGAAAACGTTTTAATGTGCAGTTGTGCATAGAAAAGAAGAACATTTGACAGTCAAGCGAATAATGATTTTACCTTGTTCTATATTCAGTGACATCCACTGTTTATCTATTGACTCTCCAGAGCATGCAGATACCAGTCCCTAATATTCTTTAACCGTCGACTGTTTGAACAGAGAAGATATGTTAAGTGTTTTGGCGTTCACATTAAGCGCACTTTGATAGAGTGTATATAGTTTCATCAGCAGAAGACTATTTCCTCCCAATGAAAAGAAACTGCCAGTCGCAGACACTCTTTCTTCTTCTAATAACAGCACTTCGCACCAGATTTTGGGGACTCTCTGTTCTGTTTCATTAGACGGCTCTAGATAATCATTTCTGTTGAGAATAGAAGTGAAATCTGGCAAAGGCAATCGATTACGATCAACTTTACCATTTTGGTGTAATGGGAATTCACTCAAAAGCACCATGTACGATGGTAAATATTTGTGGCAATAGTTCATAGTTTGCTTTTTCACTTGAAGATCATCATGTTCTTGCTCAAAAATCCGAATGTAAGTCACAAGGTAATCTTCTTCTCTCACGTCATCTCTGACTTTCATTATAATGCAGTTTTCTGTGTGTAAGTTTGTCTTTCGACTCGTGCTTTCAATTTCGCCAACCTCAATTCGTTGTCCTCTTCTTCTCCTCAGTCTTTTCTACCACTGAAAACGAGCTCACCTCGTCACTCGGTTTAACTAAGTCGCCAGTCCTGTAGAACTTCGAGCTCTTCTTTTTAAGCTGTGGCAGATCTGTTAGAACTTCTATTAAATCGGGACCTTTCAAATAGCCAGGAAACACTCCTCTACCCCCAATGTACAACTCACCAGTTTGATCGAATGAAATTTCTCGTTGGTGCTCAGCTAGTACATAACATTTGTAATTATAAAGCGACTGGTTGATGGGAACGTTGTCACTTTGCGTAAAATTACGAGCGTAAAAAACGGTATATTTCATGGCTGAGATTGTACATTCTGCCGGGCCACAGCTTATCCGTCAACGATATTCCAAACGGAAGAGGAAGACGTAGAGCAAAAGGTAACAAACTTAAACTATTGCATTTTCAGTAGAATTCATATTTCTCGTATCACACGTATGTGTTAACTATTTAGCAATGTTTGCCAACACAGTTCCATAGTAGGATAGCTATGAAAGATGTTAGAGGCTCGCCTAAAGATTTGACGAGAGAAAGAAAGTAAGAGAGGAGCGATATCAACTTTTAACTTATCTAAACAGCTAGTGACGTATGTCTTACCGATTGAACAAAAGGAACGTAGTGTTGTAAGCGGGTGGATGTTCTGTTGTTCGGTTGAATAGAGAAGATTGATGAGTGTCAGTACAATAGTGCTAAATGTTATTGAAGTGCTCACGATTGTGCGAAGAATGTGTGTCGTGTCCAAATATTGAGTCTGATCCAAGATAAATGGCGACAGAAGTTCTTGTATGCTCACATAAAAAATGAGAGAACAGATCTGCAAGAGAATGTTGGAAGATTGAAATAACTTTTCTTGACTAAATGAGTTACACCGCGACAGAAGGTTTCTTTGTGTCAATGGTACTGCCTTCGGCATACTCGTACACCCACTCATGAAAATTATATATACATTTTCATCAAGCAATTGTTTTCTATTGAAATCCGTTTTATGGCAGTTCTTTTTCAGTAAAACCATCTTTTGTTTGTGTGGTATTTCAGCCTCAACCTCACAAAACCTTTTTCAAAAAAGTTTTTCTGAGCAAGCAAAAAAACCTTGTTCTTTGTTACTTTGTTACTGAGGGCTGCGTGATTACAATTACAAAATGTAAAGTTCATACATTCCCAGGACAATGAAAACGAAATAAAAAATGGCTCGTTTATGACTCATTAATTAGTCATTAATTGTCAATTAATTGGCCATTTTTTGGTCATTAATGGTCATTTTTATATCATTTTTATCCCATAAACGGCCTCATTATTCGGTCGTAATTACACCGTTTTTTTTACTAGATAAAAATGGTAATTTTATGATCATTCAATAATGGTCATTTCGGTGTCATCTATCAAACATTAATGAGC